AATAGCAAAATAAAAAGCAACTTCCATAATTTATTTTGTCGTTTATTGTTGTCATGGAAATACATTCGCGTGGGTAATTATGCTTAATTTTTCTTTTGATTCATTGAATAGTCCTCCGAATACCATTCGTAGTCGAACTATTTGTAGATTATTTTTGAGCTGCTGCTCCACTCATGCTAGTTACGCTTTTTAATACCACTCGCGCAAGCGCTCGTGGTATTAATCAGCGTAACTAGCATTCGTGACAGCACCTCAAAAATATTCGACAATACTTCGACTACTTATGGTATTATATATGAATATTTCCTATGAATGCGAAGTGTATTTCTGCGAATGACTGTCGTTAACCCATTTGCTTTCCAGGGTCCTTCCGCTTCAAACCCGTATAAGTATGTATACGGGTTATTTATGAAACTCGGTGATGATGCGATAACTGTAATAAAGGATAAGGAAGTTACTGAATGCAGTTCCAAAATTTCAGAATCTATGTAACATGACAATCAAACTTCATCAAAAGTAAAGGTAATATGGATTAGAGCCACTGTTGAGCACTATTGTCAACACAATAACGGCGAAGCGAAGTGGTATCATTAAGAATTACATTCATGATTCAAACGGTTTATATAAATTGTTGTGTAAAGCAACCCTGCACTAGCCACGTCTTTAGATCCACACTTAATTAACAATATACGCATGACCAGCAAATAATTCTTCGCTTGCCGATTTTCTCAGAAATGCAAATGGTGGTTTTTAAGAAAAATTTCTTGTTGACGATTTAAAAGCTGACAGTTCCTGAACAGAAAAAGACATTTTATTGTGAAACTGGGGCACTATTTGGACTTTTTAATTATATTCTCACTTGATTCACAATACGCCGAATTTATTATATTTGTTTCATCATTCGTGTTGCTGCAATGCTAAACGTTAAGGAAAGTAATTACTTTGCAAGCGCGACGATTTTAAAAGGACCTTTCAACCTGATTCATTTCGGGCTGCAGAACGGTAAATATTGAATTCCTGACATTCTGTGTTTATAATTTATACCTACTTAAAAATTGTTTTATGGGGGCGAGCTTTTGCATATTTTATCTAACGATTATTTAGGTTTTTGTCGGCGAAGGTACTTATCAGTTTCGCGTTTGATGCTGAAAGTTATTGTAAAGTTTAACACCAACAGCTGTCTCTAGGTATCTGTAGGTTGTTTATACACCGTTTCCGTAATTGGAAAAACAGGCATCAAGACTGTAGTGTAACTTTCCCACTTTGCATAAGGAGTATTCGAGTAGTGGTAAAGTTTAGTCATTAGCGTTTCTTCAAATAACAGTTTTCCTTTCATAGTTCTACAGCAACATTAGAGGTCTTTGGAGTCGTGGTAATAATTACAGAGCTTGAAGTAGACGTTCGCCAAATATTTATTACTCGCCATAAATAGTCACAAGTGGATTCTGTCACTGAAGTGAGAAAGTCATTATCCGAGGTGTACTACCTAATCTTACCCAAATTGTCAATACATGGCACATAAAAAACGAGTCATTTATTGGAAATGTAAGAGACCTTATAAACAACTGGCAAAAGTTATATAACGCTTTGTCCTTCCAAAAGTGTACTACTGTATTGTATGCGATGTCGTTAGTTTTCCTTTTTCAGATTGCGTTAGTGGCGGAAACAAGCATCCTCGTTCCAGTCACCTAATAACCAGTACTGCTATAAACTTGTCACGGTCTGCAACCCCAGTTTCTGGAGACATTCGAGCTTAAAGATGATATTTCACTACGAGCTTAGCGGATGCGATTTAACCATACGCTTGTGATTTCGGTACAGGGTAACATAAGCCGCACAAAGTTGCAAAACAAAAACACCGAAGTGTCCTTTTCTGGACGATTGACACACGCATAGTTGTCAACAACGAATTGCTGAAACTAAATCTATTAGTTAGAAAGATTCAAATCTTCAACTTCATATTGGATAGGACAATTGTAAATGTAGCAATTTAGGGCCATTAAGGGATTTCAACTCAATCCAAGTGAGCTGTGAAGGTAGACCCAAGTGGCTAGATTTACTGATTTATCGCTTTAGATAGCTTCATAGTAACGCAGAGGTCGAATTCGCGTTGTAACGTACTAGGACGTTTGTAATACATACTAACAATTCGGAAAGAGTATTAGCAATTGCGCCCTTTGCAATTGCAACGTTACACTTTGAAGCAGGTGTCACCCACGTCGATACTTTAAATTTTCGATAAGCTTGAAAACTTTATCAATTTTACTCATTCTGGCACAAGTATGATGTGCATACAAATTAGCGTATTATTGTGTTGCCGCAGTTCGCAAGAAAACATAAACTTGGTAGTACAGTGCCACGTTGCTGTGTTCCCAGCATTATCGTCGTAAACGGGGGTATTATGCAACATTTGCATCTATGTTTCGTAGAGCGAAAACAAGAGCAATCAAAGCAGATGAAGTAACACTGGCACGTCGTTAAAGGCGAATGGAATCGATTAATTAAAAAAATCAAAAAATCAAACTTCATTAAGCATTGCTCCTTTTTAAAGCGAACAGTAGTTTCTTTTGTAACTTATCAGTTTAACTTTCCATAAGAATAATAAATAGAGCAATTTTATACAAACACACCTTATACATAACAAAATTGAACTCATATAGGAAATACCTTTATTTTAAAAGATAAGACAATCCAAAAGAAATTTAAGATTCCTTTTGAATGAGTTCAAACATAATTCTTTTAGAAATGGATCTACAGTGTGGGCGTAAATTGTCATCGATAATACAAAATCGAAACAGTTCGATGTATCTGGGGTACCCCAAGGAACTTATGTTGGTCCTCCACTTTGTTTGACATTCATCAATGATAATATGATATCTCATCAATTCTATCGCCAGATCACTTCCTTTTTACTAAAGATCTAAAACTCGGAGGCCAATTGAGAACGTTCATGATGCTTCAACATGATCTGGTACAACTGGAAAAATTAGTAGCTGCAATAATGATCTGCAATTAAATCGATATCATCAAGTGTTAAGTTATTTGCCGTTGATAACAAATTACTATTTGTGTGGTGAACGACTGTTATCATAATACAATTCGGTTTCTTAAACCTCCTTTCTCTTCTGATTTGTGCTTGGGGATAGTTCCAAGGTGGAGAGTTCTCTTCGGCTGCATATTTACCAACAGGTTTCCTTTTATTATGTTTGCACGTTGAGCGTTGTCTTACGAGTATTGTGTTGGGAAACCCAAGGATACTATATAATATAATGATTGCTCGATCCCTATACTTGTAATGTTGCCCGAATTTAAGTCATATGTGACGTCACCAACGGACCTGGCTGTCAGAATTGACAGTTATAATTTGTTAAGTTGTCAACGTTTTTGCATTAGCGTTATAACTGTGTATATGTGTTCCCTATATTGCAACAAAAATGCATGAACGCCGGCGTGCAGTATTGGACTGTAATAACAATTTGGGGTAGTATTCACATTTTACACTCAACTGGCGCTCATTTTAGCCAGTGTCAAGAAGAACGTCGAGAAATCGTTATTTTAAGATGGACAAAGTTGAAATAAACTTATTTAGCTGCAATTTCCATGGATGATGAAGAGTAAAAAAACCAAAAACGCAGGATGAAATGGGTTCACGATATTTTGAAAACCGAAGGAGAATTTGTAGATGATGAATGACAAGTGTTTCTAATATAAATACCTACCTATAACATCCATTTGGACGTATTAGACCCCTTCTTAGCAGGCGTTTTTTGAAGCGGCTGGTAGCTTGACCCCTTCACACGGTGCGATTTGCAGCGCCACAAGTAGCACGAAGCGCTTTTCAGAAGCGCCTTCACGCAACAAAAGCGCACGTACCAAGAAGGTACGTCGTTTTTTAAAAAATGGTGTCTGGTTTGAGGAGAGTTGATTTACTTGTGCCTTAGTAAAGAGCGTAGGTACATATTTTTGTACTGATATTTTGTATATAAAGCTAAGTTTGTTATTACTGATATGTGGGGGTTGTAGTTCGACCGTTGAAGGAAGGCGAAGCTCTATTAGACTAAACATTTCATATTGTGTGGTAAAAACCATTGTAGCACGGTGTGGCAAACTCCAAAATTATAACAGAAATTGTACAGAAGAGACTTATAAATTTCAGTTCTTACTCATCTGACATTTCCGCATAACCGTATCTTTTTTTCGAAGAAAATTTCCACTCCTCGCAGCGTTTCAAAAACGCCTCGTGAGAAGGAGCTCTTAGAATCTTACATAATATAAAATACAAATGACAGTGGTGCACAAATCTAAAAATCAAAGCATGCAGTGCGTCTGGGTCCGCCAGTGACGTCACTACACGCGGCGAAAAAATTCAGTGATCGAGCAATCCTTATATTATATAGTATCCTTGGGGAAACCATTGTGCATTCTGTCCGGTAATTTTTATGCGATCATTGTTGAATTGGGGGGTTTTAATTGGGCGTTTAATTCGCTAAGAGTTTTGAGTCAAGCTTAATCAACACTTTGGAATATCGGGGAGTAAGTATCTATATAGTTGTGTGGATTCGTTATTTACTTTTGAAGAAAATTTTATTTGATATTCACGAAAATAAACCAATATTTCTTTCGTTAATTTGATTTCACTGTTATTTCCCTTGTATCTTCTCGGTTTATACAGGGAAAGTAAAGTATTTAAAGAAGTTGGGTGGCGCTCAACTCGATGGTAAGTGTAACGAGGTACCGACGATTATATAC